ATTGTGATAATCTTTTATCACAGGCAGTCTCCTGCTTATCACATTTCCTTTTCCGTGGAGGCTACAACTTTCACTCTTGTTCATATCTTCCTCCATATCTCTAAATAAAATGTTTATGTTGCTACTCAATTAAAAAAGTTTCAAACAAACAGAGGTCCAGGACCAGAGAGCTTCAACACGAATTCTACCAGACATTTAAAAAGCAGTTAATATCTGGGGCGCCTGGGTGGCTCAGTCGGTTAAGCGACTGCCTTCGGCTCAGGTCATGATCCTGGAGTCCCGGGATCGTGTCCCACATCGGGCTCCCTGCTCGGCAGGGAGCCTGCTTCTCCCTCTGACCCTCCCCCCTCTCATGTGCTCTCTCTGTCTCAAATAAATAAATAAAATCTTAAAAAAAAAAAAAAAAGAATAGTTAAAATAGAAAATTTTATGATGTGTGTGTGTGTGTGTGTATTTTAACCACAATAAAAAAAATGAGATAATAATACCTACCTCTCTGGGCTCTTGTTAAGATTAAATGATATTAGGTATACAAAGCCTTTGGATTATAGTTGGTATTCAGTAAATACTAGTTTCTTTCTCCCCTCTAATCACCCATAGATTTTTACTTTTAGATCAGTGGTTTCCAAACTTTAGCATGCAACAGAATTACCTGGTGATCTTGCTAAAGCATAGACTGCTGAGCCCATCCCCGCAGTTTCTGATTTAGGAGTGGAGCTCAAGAATTTGCATCTGGCAAATTCCCACATGATGCTGCTGCTCTGGTGTAGGGACCACACTCTGAGAATCACGGTTCTAGACAATACTTGAAACCAAATGGCTCGGGGCGCCTGGGTGGCTCAGTCGTTAAGCGTCTGCCTTCGGCTCAGGTCATGATCCTGGAGTCCCGGGATCGAGTCCCGCATCGGGCTCCCTGCTCGGCAGCGAGTCTGCTTCTCCCTCTGACCCTCCCCCCTCTCATGCTCTCTCTCTCTATCTTATTCTCTCTCTCAAATAAATAAATAAAGTCTTTAAAAAAAAAAAAAACCAGTTAATATCTATTCTTCTCAAACTATTCCAAAAATAGAAAGGAAGAAAAACTTCCAAGTTCATTCTATGAGGCAGCATTACACTGATACCAAAAGCAGATAAAGATACCACAAAAAAGAGAACTACAAGACAATATCTCTGATGAACATAGATGCAAAAGTCCTCAACAAAATACTAGCAAACAGAATCCAACAATACATTAAAAAAATAATTTGCCACGATCAAGTGGAAGTTATTTCTGGGATGCAAGAGTGCTTCGATATTCGCAAATCAATCAATGTGCTACGTTACATCAATAAGAGAAAGGATAAAAACCATATGACCATTTCAGATAGATGCAGAAAAAGTATTTGACAAAGTACAACATCCATTCATGATAAAAACCCTCAACAAAGTAGGTTTAGAGGGAACATATCTCAACACAATAAAGGCCTTATGTGAAAAACCACAGCTAACATCATGCTCCATGGGAAAAAACTGAAAGATTTCTCCCTAGGGTCAGGAAAAAGACAAGGATGTCTATGCTCACCACTTCCATTCAGCATAGTACTGGAGGTTCTAGTCACAGCAATCAGGCAACAAAAAGAAATAAAAGGCATCCAAATTGGTAAGGAAGAAGTAAAACTTTTACTATTCGCACATGACATGATACTATATATAGAAAATCCTAGGGCGCCTGGGTGGCTCAGTTGGTTAAGCGACTGCCTTCGGCTCAGGTCATGATCCTGGAGTCCCGGGATCGAGTCCCGCATCGGGCTCCCTGCTCAGCGGGGAGTCTGCTTCTCCCTCTGACCCTCCCCCCTCTCATGTGCTCTCTCTCTCTCTCTCATTCTATCTCAAATAAATAAATAAAATCTTAAAAAAAAAAAAAAGAAAATCCTAAAGACTCCACCAAAACAATGCTAGAACTGATAAATAAATTCAGTAAAGCTGTAGGATACAAATCAATGTACAGAAATCTGTTGCATTTAAAAAAAAATTATTTATTTATTTGACAGAGAGAGTGAGAGAGAGCACAAGCAGGGGGAGCAGCAGAGAGAGAGGGAGAAGCAGGCTCCCTGCTGAGCAAGAAGCCCGACGCAGGACTCAATCCCAGGACCCTGGGATCATGACCTGAGCCGAAGGCAGATGCTTAACCAACTGAGCCACCCAGGCGCCCCTCTGTTGCATTTCTATATACCAATAATGAAGCAGCAGAAAGAGAAATGAAGAAAACAATCCCATTTACAATTGCACCAAAGATAATAAAATACCTAGGAATAAATTTTTTTTTAAAGATTTTATTTATTTATTTGACAGAGAAAGACACAGCGAGAGAGGGAACACAAACGGGGAGTGGGAGAGGGAGAAGCAGACTCCCTGCCGAGCAGGGAGCCCGATGCGGGACTTGATCCTGGGACTCCAGGATCATGACCCGAGCCGAAGGCAGTCGCCTAACCAACTGAGCCACCCAGGCGCCCACCTAGGAATAAATTTAACCAAAGAGGTGAAAGACCTGTACTCTGAAAACTATAAAACACTGATGAAAGAAATTGAAGACAATACAAAGAAACAGACATTTCATGCTCATGGATTGGAAGAACAAATATTGTTAAAATGTCTATCCTACTCAAAGCAATCTACAGATTTAATGTAATCCCTATCAAAATACCAACAGCATTTTTCACAGAACTGGAACAAATGGTCCTAAAATTTGTATGGAACCACAGAAGACCCTGAATAGCCAAAGCAATCTTGAAAAAGAAAAACAAAATTGGAGGTATCACAATTCCAGACTTCAAGTTATATTATGAAGCTGTAGTAATCAAAACATTACGTGGTCCTGGCACCAAAATAGACACATGGATTAATAGAACAGAATAGAAAACCCAGAAATAAACCCACAATTATATGGCCAATTAATCTTCAACAAAGCAGGAAAGAACATGCAATGGGAAAAAGACAGTCTCTTCAGCAAATGGTATTGGGAAAACTGGACAGCAGCATGCAAAAGAATGAAACTGGACCACTTTCTTTTTCTTTTCTTTTTTTTTTTTTTTAAAGATTTTATTTATTTATTTGAGAGAGAGAGAATGAGAGAGAGAGCACATGAGAGGGGGGAGGGTCAGAGGGAGAAGCAGACTCGCCGCCGAGCGGGGAGCCCGATGCGGGACTCGATCCAGGGACTCCAGGATCATGACCTGAGCCGAAGGCAGTCGCTTAACCAACTGAGCCACCCAGGCGCCCCCTGGACCACTTTCTTACACCAGACACAAAAATAAACTTAAAATGGGTTAAAGACCTAAATTTGAGACCTGAACCCATAAAAATCCTCGAAGAGAGCCCAGGCAGTAATGTCTCTGACACTGGCCATTGCAAGAGTTTTCTAGATATGTCTCCTGAGGCAAGAGAAATAAAAGCAAAAATAAACTATTGGGACTAGATCAAAATAAAAAGTTTCTGGGGTGCCTGGGTGGCTCAGTCGGTTAAGTGTCCAACTCTTGGATCAGGTCCTGATCTCATGGGTCATGAAGTCGAGCCTCACATCGGGCTCTGTGCTCAGCAGGAACCTGCTTGGATATTCTTTCCCTCTGCCCCTTCCCCTACTCGTGTTCTCTCTCTTTCTCTCAAATAAATAAAATCTTTTTTAAAAAGTTTCTGCACAGAAGATATTTGCAAATGATATATGCAATAAAGGGTTAGTATCCAAAGTATATAAATAACTTACACTACTCAACACCCAAAAAACAAATAATCCAATTAAAAAATGGGTAGAAGACATGAACAGACATTTTTCCAAAGAAGACATACAGATGGTGCACAGATACATGAAAAGATGTTCATTATCACTCACCATCAGGAAAATGCAAATCAAAACTACAATGAGATATCACCTCACACCTGTCAGAATGGCTAAAATCAAAAACACAAGAAACAACAAGTGTTGGCGAGGATGTGGAGAAAATGAACCCTCGTGCACTGTTGGTGAGAATGCAAACTGGTGCAGCCACATGGAAAACAGTATGGAGGTTCCTTAAAAAATTAAAAATAGAAATACCGTGTGATCCAGTAATTGTACTACTGGGTATTTACCCCCCAAATACAAAAACATTAATTCAAAAGGATACATGCACCCCTATGTTTATAGTAGCATTATTTACAATAGCCAAATTAGGGAAGCAGCTTGGGTCCATTGATAGATGAATGATGAAGAAGAGGTGGTATATATATATATACACAATGGAATATTATTGAGCCATAAAAAATAATGAAATCTTGCCATTTGCAACAACATGGATGGAGCTAGAGAGTATAATGCTAAGTGAAGTAAGTCAGTCAGAGAAAGATAAATACCATGATTTCATTCATATGTGGAATTTAAGAAACAAAACAAATGAGTGAAAGAAAAAAAGAGAGATATAGGTGAAGGGGATTAAGATTATACTTTATCATGATGAGCACTGTGTAAAGTATAGAATTGTTGAATCACTGTATTATATACCTGGAATGAATATAACACTATATGTTAACTATACTGGAGTTAAAATAGAAAACTTAATAAAAAAATTTAGGTATCTATGGACTTTCTACTACTGAAAATTATACTCTTCTTTCACACACACCCACATTCACACCTGTCCTGCCACACATCCTGCCAGGTGCCAAAGGTGCTTGTGGCCCTTATAGAAGTGCCCTCAATGTTTGCCCATGATTATCTTTCTGGGAACTTTCTTTTTTTTTTTTTTTTTTTAAAGATTTCATTTATTTATTTGACAGAGAGAGAGACACAGCGAGAGAGGGAACACAAGCAGGGGGAGTGGGAGAGGGAGAAGCAGGCTTCCAGCCGAGCAGGGAGCCCAATGCGGGGCTCGATCCCAGGACCCTGGGACCATGACCTGAGCCGAAGGCAGATGCTTAACGACTGAGCCACCCAGGCGCCCCCGGGACCTTTCTTCACTTCCCATGAGGAAAGTCTTATTTACTTACTGTACCTGTCTTCCCCTCATGATGGAGGTCTGGTCTTGTCTACTGTCTTCCTTTCAGAAGGGAGGTTCTTGCGTACTGGATCCCATGTCTTTCTCTTTTTGGTTTATTCCCTCATTTTGGAGAAGCACGTTCTTTCTAGTTTCCTATAAAGGAATTCAGTGCAGGTATATATTTGAGATATATTTTGTGTACTAAAATAGCCCCATTCTACTTTCATACTTAAATGATAAGTTGGCGGGTCTGAAAATTCTATCTTGGAAAAGCTTTCCCTTCATAATTTCATCATCTAGCTTTTCAGGGTTGTTGCTGAAAAGTCTGACTTCATTCTGACTCTTGTTTTTGTGTGTGGAATCTTATCTGCTTGTCTTTTTAGCTTTCATTCCCACTATATCCCCTGTTTTGGTTGGGTTGCCTGCAGCAGCAAGTAAATGAACATCAACTCAAAGTGGTTTAAACAATAAAGTTTTTCTCATATCATTGGTCTCAATGCAGGTTGGGCTCCAAGGATAGTTAATTCACTAACAAAGGAATTATCATTGAACCTGGTCTTTCCATTTTCCAGCTTCCCCCCAACCCCTCTTTTTTTCCTCAGATCAGCTCTCCTTATGTTCATAAGATGGCTACAGCAATTCCAGGTGTATCCAATATCCAGATACTCAGAAGGTATAAAGGAGGAAAAGGTAATCTCTTCATCAGTATCTTTTCTAAGAAAAAAGAAACCTTTCCCAGAACACCCATTCTCATCGGTGAGACTATATCACCTGCCCAAGTCTACATGAGAGATAAAGGGAATGGTACTACCTTGATTGGCTTAAATTAATCAGGATTCACCTTTAGGAGCTTAGGAAGTAACTGGCATCCATACACGAACATGACCAAGTGCAGGAGCATAGATACCTGAACAAGACCAGAGCTATAACAGTAAAGAAGTGGGGAAATGATTTTGGAAGGGAATCAACAATGTGTACTACACTCCTGGACATATTTTGTTTCAGTAATCCTGACTTTATTACAGTTTCCCCAATGTTCTTATTTTTAGGCCTCTAACTTCACATTGGCTCCTGCTGTTCTTGTCACTGTAGGAAGCTGAAGAGTAGGCTTGATTTCTGGAGTCTCCCTAGGAAGCCATTTATCTCCATATGCTTGACTAGCATTAGATTAACCTTGAATCTTCTATAAGTAAAAGTCTGAGTGTTGACACTGGGTGCTCCCTTACCCACTGAGATGGGGTCCTGGCGCAGGTTTGTAATGAAGTTCTCCTGTTCTCCCATCACCACCAAGGCTAACTGGTTCAAGGAGAGAATACTGAACCCAAGTTTAACTAATCGGATTCTCTCCCTATTTGGTATTAGGACTGAAAGAAAGTCAGTCTCCATTTGCTTCAAACTATCACTTCAAACTCAGGAGGGGCAGCAGTATTCCATCTCGTGCTTTGAGGAACAGAGAAATCTTTGTAGGGAGAAGGAGCAAATGCACAGAGAGAAGCAGGAATGAGATGGAGTGGAGTGTTCCTGGCTTCCTACTTCTTGATTTCAGCCCGTCTGAGGGTTGGCTGCATTCCTTGCCCTTGTGTCTTGTGAGATAGGCAAGTATCCTCATTTTAAATCCCCCTTTTGATTTAAACTAGTTTCCTGGATGTTCTGCTATTTTTAACTATAGCATCTTAATTTAAGGAGTTATGACCAATCCTTCTGGACTAGGGCTATGAAACCTGAGGGCTTGTGACTTTATCTTGAGGCTCAGGGTCTCTTTCTTTTTCCCTTATCAGCTGGTTTTATTTATTGTCAACCTTGTGGGGGATCTGGTATGCTTGGGAAGGGGAGCTGAGGTGTTGTAAACAAGAATGGGTAGAAGGGCATGTGTTTGGTTCATGCAGAGACGAGTAGGATGTTTCACTTTTCTTCCATGTAGCATAAAGTAAGCATTAATAAATATTTGAACAGATAAGCAGTCTGTACCTCATAAATCTGAATCTGATAAAAGATTAAATCTTAAATTGATTGTTGATAGCTGTTGTGTCACACTGACGTCTGTAACTGTGTTATTAATTGTTGCATCTGTGGTCATTGTGTTGGGGTATCAGACTTATATTTATGAGCTGACTCCACCTTCATGTTATGCAACTAGTTTGTTGTAGGTGGGACAGTTCTAGTGCTGACACAGGAGACCACACTTAAAGTCCTGAGGAGTTAAAAACAGCTTGGGATCTGAATAAGCACTTTTGCTCAGAATCTTTGCATTGTGTCAACTTTAATCATGCATTGGCCTCTTGGTCAACTTTCATCACTTCTTGACCCAATTCCTCATTTGTATGGTGTTTCTTTGGATGAACTGGAACTACAGTTTTCAGAATCCTCTTCCTTGTGTGATTTGCCTTAGAGTTGGGGGAAAAAAAGCCCAGTATGAGATTTGGAAGGTAGTAGTGAATGAGCAGTCATGCTCTGGAAGAAACACGCAGAGAGGTTTGCATATGTCAGTTGTCCCCACTCTCCACTACACTGGTGGCAGGTTCCGCATGTTCTTGCTCTTGCCTGCCCCATACCTGGCTCTTCTCTCAAGTGCAGGCCCTGCTGACCAGCAGTGACTCCAGGCTGGGCTGTTCCACTCTCACAGCTGAAGTGCCTGGTTTCTCAGATGGCTTTGCAAACTCCATCTTGCCCACCTCTGCCAGCACTAACAGAGGATTGGCCAGTGACTTTTCCCTGATCCTTCAACTTCTGCTTTTCCCTTGATTCTCCTGCTTCTTCAACGATAGTGGGTAGAAGTCATCATAGCTTCTAGCATATAATGAATCCTCAATTAACATTTACTAAATGATCTTTAGTTTATAGAAAGAAGAAAAGAAGGAAAGAAACTACTTGGGGCACCTGGGTGGCTCAGTTGGTTAAGCGTCTGCCTTTGGTTCAGGTCATGATCCCAGAGTCCTGGGAATAGAATCCTGTGTCCAGCTCTCTGCTCAGTGGGGAGCCCGCTTCTCCCTCTCCCTCTGCCTGTCGCTCCCCCTGCTTGTGCTCTCTCTCTGTGTCAAATTAATAATTAAAATCTTAAAAAAAAAAAAAAGAAAGAAACTACTTGTCTCATTGAATTGGCCTAGATGCCAGATGGTGGAGATTCTCTTCACAATTTTGGCTAAAAGTAAAAGGTGCTTTCCAAACTCTTATTACTTACTTAAAATAATTCCACAAAGCATATTCCTTAAAAAAAAAAAAACACAGTTGAAATAGAGAAATGAAAGTAGCTTACTTAAGATCCTGGGGCAAAAGAGGAAGTAAACCAAAATTAGAACTTGTAGTTATGTTTTCCCTAACTTACAGCTGAAGTCTGCTTAGCAGTTCATTAAGTTTTATCTTTCTTACTTTATCAAACCCACTTTTGTTCACCGTCACCTCTTCTGCCCCTTGCGTGTATACACATGTATATTTGTCTAAACACCACCAGGAAAAAATATATCAAAGTTTATGGAAGTACCTGTTGAAAGTATGGCTCTCCAAAGGGGATTATATTCAAGTCAACTTAATGAGTATTTGAGCATCTACATGTAAGAAAACTTAGACTGCAGGCCAAGTAAGGATGAATAGAGAGCCAATGTGCTGTGGTGTTGCTATTGGAGAAACTTTACAAAGATTCTTTAATGTGGAGCCATTGTTGGTTATTACTCAATTCCTATTCTCAGTACCCTGTCTTTTTCTCATTCCTCAGTTGAGTCTTGGGGTTGTGGTTTCCACATGAACATACACCCAAAGTAGCTTAATGAGATTCAGCAGAAATAGGTCCTCCAGGCCATGGCCCTTCTAAGAGAATATTTTGTTATTCCCTAGGCAGGTAGTTCTTAAAATTTACTAGTAAACCTTCACCTGGAAAGCCTCTTTAAAATGCAGAATCCAGGGGTGCCTGGCTGGCTCAGTCGGAGGAGTGTTTGACTCTTGATCTCGGGGTCATAGGTTCAAGCTCCACAATGGGTATAGAGATCACTTAAAAATAAATAAATAAGCCTAAATAAAATAAAATAAAATGCAGAATCCTAGGCTTCCTTCCTCACCCTCCCCCCACCAACTCGGCTCCTGCTGATTAAAATTCAGGTTATCTACGGAATTTCTATTTTTCACAAGACTCCAGGCACTTATATGATGCAATGGGCTCCAGGCCAATTTCAGGGAAATGTCCAAAAACACCTGGGCACTTACTTTTTATTTTATTATTTTTTAAGATTTTATTTATTTGCGAGAGAGAGAATAAGAGACAGAGAGCATGAGAGGGAGGAGGGTCAGAGGGAGAAGCAGACTCCCCGCTGAGCAGGGAGCCCGATGTGGGACTCGATCCCGGGACTCCAGGATCATGACCTGAGCCGAAGGCAGTCGCTTAACCAACTGAGCCACCCAGGCGCCCTGGGCACTTACTTTTTAAAAAGCTGATTCTTGGGGCGCCTGGGTAGCTCAGTCATTAAGCATCTGCTTCTCTCTCTCCCTCTGCTACTCCCCCTGCTTGTGTGCGCGCTCTCTCTCTTTCTCTGTCAAATAAATAAATAAAATTTTTAAAATAAATAAATAAATAAATAAAATAAAAAGCTGATTCTTGATCCCTCTGAATTAGAATTTTGGGGGTAGAGCCTGGGAATGTGCATTTTAAATTCATCTCCCACTTGATTCTTATGAATTCCCAGACCCCCTTTGAGAAGATTAGTAGATCTCCTACTTTATATTTAAAGCCCAGTTTAGACACAAAGTCCTCTGGAGAGAGAAACAGAAAAAAGAGAAGGCTTTCCTTGCTAGTAAACATTGATTTTAGAATCATTCCTTCCTAACTCTTAGAATCCATTCCCAGCTTATTGCTGTTCTAAGCATTTCTTGGAAAAAGTCTGGGTTCCCAAGGTCAGGAAGCCTTTATATCCTCTGAGGTGGTCAGGACTGCTGATGGGCACATCTTAGGCAGCCCTCATTTGCAGATTAAACACAGGCAGGCCAATCAAACAGTAATGGGAGCTCCAGAAGCCTCGGGGGTTGTGAGGCAGTGTCTTCCAGAATAATGGTCTTTCCGGGGCCAAGTCAGGCCACATGTCTGCCTCCCTACCCCATCCCATCCTGACATTCCCCATGCCCAAAGCCATGTCTAACATGTCATCCCAGAGGCCACTTTGTAAAACAGTAACTGTCCTTCCAGTAATTTGAAAAGGGCATGATGTGGGCCGTGTGGAGTGAAACAAGCATCCTGAGATGAATATGGGTTTGAATCCTGGCCTTCCCCCTTAGCAGGCCTGAGTGTGGACTGGCTACCGAGCCTCCAAGGTAACTGCTGGGAGGGGCTGTGTGAAGTCCGGAAAGCTGGTGTGTGAGACCACTAGAGAGGGACCAGAGACATGGTACTCTCCTCTCTTCCTGACTCCCTAGTTCCTTTGATCCTCATTCCTTCCACCTTATTCCATCTCTCACCCTCCCTGTTCCAGACCACTGGACTGGTTTGTAAGTGTGAGAAGGCTTTCTTCGGCGCCTCCCCTCCCCACGTTGTGGAGGACTCTGGTCGGGCACTACTTGTTCTCACCAGCCTACCATAACCACAGCCATGACTTGGTCATCTTTGTTGTAGCAAAACCTGCTCCAAAGACTGAAAGGGAACATTTGCCGAGCACCAGGCAAGTACTGAAGATACTACAGGAGAAGTGCTTAGGGCGGTGGCTGGCTTCTTTAGTAAATTATAGCTATTACTCACCATTGTTTTGCTATTTATTTCTCAAATGAGTCTGGATGGGGCACCTGAGTGGTTCAGTAGGTTAAGCGTCTGCCTTCGGCTCAGGTCATGATCCTGGGGTCCTGGGATGGAGCCCCATGTTTTCAAACTCCCTGCTCCGTGGGGAGTCTGCTTCTCTTCCTCTCCCCCTGATCCCCACGCCCCCTCCATGTGTGTGTGTGTGCTCTCTCTCAAATAAATAAATAAATAAATCTTAAAAAAAAAAAGTGAGCCTGGAGAGTGGGTCCTAACAGCTGTTCTGCTTCTCTTTGCAGCTGAAAAAACTGAGGCTCAGAGGAAATGAAGTTACTTGCTCCTGATCACATAGCTAGGAAGTGGTGAACTAGAATTTTAACCAGTCTAGAGACAGCTTCAAAATCCATGCTTTTTTTTTTTTTTTCTTAAGTCCTTTTTATTTTTTTTATTTTTTAAAGATTTTATTTATTTTTTAGAGAGCGAGTGAGAGAGAAACAGCATGAGAGGGGAGAGGGTCAGAGGGAGAAGCAGGCTCCCCGCCAAGCCGGGAGCCCGATGTGGGACTCGATCCCAGGACCTGAGCCGAAGGCAGTCGCTTAACCAACTGAGCCACCCAGGCACCCCCAAATCCATGCTTTTTCAACTGCCATTAGTAAGGCCTCAGTCTGAAGTCTCACATTCAGAACACATATGGGAAAACCAGAAAATGCTGCTAGTTCTGGAGATACAGACATATTCATTTTTTGTGTGTGAAATAAAAGTGCCTTATAAATGACTTGAAAAAGTCACTCTGTATTTATGGGGAAAGTGACATTATACAAGATCGGAAATCTGTTGACAAACTGCTGACATTGGGTGATATGTAGATGGAGATTCCGTATGTGAATCTCTTTGCCTTTGTATATATTTGAAATTTTCTTCATTGAAGAGTTAAAAACCAAATTCATTTCACATCTGTCCAAAATACGGTGATTATGTACAGTAGCAGATTATCTATAGGCTCTAAATTTGTAGTTGATAGACTTCACATTTTTGTGAGGATTCTGTGATTTTTGAAGATTTGGAAGACTAAATTTTTGCTTTTTAAACTCTCAAAATATGCAAATTTATATTTGTTGTATAATATGGGCAAGGCAACTAACGGCCATGACAGTCCTATGGTGAAAGTCGAATTATCTCCATCTTGCCGATGAAACACTGAGGCATTGAGGGAACTCCCTGGCTGGAGGACTCTCAGCCAGGGGGAAGGGGATTCTCAACTCAGGTAGAATGTCTCAGGTCCACACATATTCTGTTGCTCACCTTGAGGGCACCATGTTTAAGCAAATATTCATCTTAAGTCTCAGTTAGGAATGATTTTACCACAAATACAGAAAATTCTATTTGTTAGGAGAGGGTCACACTCAAGGGGAGGAGACTTAAGCATTCACACACACACACACACACACACACAACACAAACACACACGAGTTAACCATGTTAACTATTAACTATGTGGGATGGTGGATGTGTTTATTATCTTGATCTTGGTAATCATTTTATTTTATTTTTTTAAGTATTTTTCAAAGATTTTATTTATTTATTTGAGATAGTGTAAGCGAGAGAGCAGGAGCAGGGGAGCAGGGGGAGAGGGAGAATCAGGCTCTCTGTTGAGCAGGGAGCGCAACGTGGGACTTGATCCCAGGACCCTGGGATCATGACTTGAACTGAAGGCAGACGATTCACTGACTGAGCCACCCAGGCGCCCCTTAGTAATCATTTTACAATGTATATGCATATCAAATCATTACATTGTACACTTTAAATATATACAGTAATAATAGCCAATTATCCCTCAATAAAATTATAAAAAAAGAACTTATCTTAGAAAATTAAGCAGATGGAAAAGAATTAAGGAGTAAAATTCATAGACAGTTTTATCATTAGGAAGTGCTTGAGCAAGTCCAAGAAATTCTACACTTTGAAATAATTCCTTTTTCTTAAATCCTGAATTTAAGTAGACTGCTATTTAATGTCTGTGGGGGCTTATATACATTCTAATTTTAGATTTTGGCTTAAAAAGGGAATCTTAATTCTTTTAAGACAACTTTCACAACTGACAGAAAGAGTGGTGATAATTTCTTTTTCCATATTTCTCCAAGCTGAGAATGTATACTTTTCATAACTGACTTACATCTCCATGGGAAAAGAGAGCTTTACTTCTTTTTACTTTTTGTATTGAACAATAATTGACATACAATATTGTATTAGTCTCAGGTGTACAACATAGTGACTTGATATTTATATACACCAAGAAATGGTCACCATGGTATGTCTAGTTACTATCTGTCACCATATAGTTATTACACTATTATTGACTATATTCCCTATGCTGTACTTCTCATCCCCATGATTTATTTATTTTATAATTAGAAGATCATTAATCTCCTTCACTTATTTTGTTCACACCCCCTATTCTCTTCCTCTCTGGCAACCAACAGTTCATTCTCTGTATCTGAGTCTGTTTATTTTGCTTCTTCGTTTGCTTTATTTTTAGATTGCACATGTAAGTGAAATCATATGGTGTTTGTCTTTGTATGAGTTATTTCACTTAGCAGAGTACACTTTAGGTCTATCCATGTGGTTGCAATTGACAAGATTTCATTCTTTTTTATGGCCAGGTAATATTCCATTGTATATATACCACATCTTCTTTATCCATTCATCTATTGATGGATACTTAGGTTGTTTCCATATCTTGGATATTGTAAATAATGCTGCAATAAACATAGGGGTGCATATGTTTTTTTTAGTACTTTCATTTTCTTTGGCTAAATATCCAGAAGTGGAATTGCTGGATCATACAGTATTCTATTTTTAATTTTTTGAGGAACCTCCACACTTTTTCCATAGTGACTGCACCAATTTACATTCCCACCAAAGAGTTTACTTTTCTCCTCTTCCTTGTCAACACTTGTTATTTCTTGTCTTTTTTTCCCCTTGTCTTTTTTTTTTTTAAGATTTTATTTATTTATTTGAGAGAGAGAATGAGACAGAGAGAGAGAGCATGAGAGGGGGGAGGATCAGAGGGAGAAGCAGACTCCCTGCTGAGCAGGGAGTCTGATGCGGGACTAGATCCTGGGACTCCAGGATCATGACCTGAGCCAAAGGCAGTCGCTTAACCAACTCAGCCACCCAGGCGCCCTCCCCTTGTCTTTTTTTTTTTTTTTAAGATTTTATTTATTTATTCATGAGAGATAGAGAGAGGGAAAGGCAGAGGGAGAAGCAGGCTTCC